TATTGAAGAATGGAGTTTGTTGTATATGTTGTTTTGTTGATGACTAACCATGTAGGTGGAATGGCGGACAGAACTACTCTCAGGTCCATTAGGAACGAGAATTGGAACTATACTTAGTTCTGAATGAGTGGTGTGCATAATGAATAAATTAATATGAGCCTGCATGATAATACCTCATCTACATGCCTAGATTGATCATGCATATTCTTAATATACGTGGCACAAGTTAAATATCTTTCCGTATATGACTAAGCACTCACCTCTATGAGTTGGCCTATATAGCTTATGGAAAGATTCACTATTAATGCTACATAAAAATCCACTATGTCAAGAATCCCACACAAATCGACCGTAGCATATTTAGATCCACTAAGTAAACATTTCCTTATCACTTAATGCTACTAAGTCATTATATTATGGAAAGTATCTTGGGTTGCATATTCTGTAGCACCTTATTTTACTTATATGATCGTTACATATTCTTGAGAACTAATATAAATATGTTGATAATATCCGTTGGATGCTTATATTAGGAGAACAAAATATTCTCCTTATATGTGATACATAATATTCTCCATATCTGTTTTATTATTGAATGATTTACTCATAATATACTTCCATATTTATATGGTTGACCGAGGATCACCATAATTGTGAGCCGGAAGATCTTTGAATAAAAGGAAAGACGAGGCTACGGATGCTATATATATATTGGACAAAGGACCAGACGAAATGTGTGCTTGACCGAGCTTATATTGAGAAATATACACGAGAATATTCACCAAGTCCAAGGCACCTGAACCTGCTCACGGAGTTCCAGACAGAGTTTCTTTTTCCCTTCTTCATATTGTAATTGGGTTTTTGAGGATTAGCTAAGTGTAGCATCCTCGGGTTGGTTAGTGTGTTGTGAGAGCTTTGTTGTAAAGCTGAGAGGCTCTCTACCCGCAAGGTAGAGATGCATAACTCTTCCTAGAGAGGATAGAGTTGGGGTGGCTCAAGGGTAGACTAGGAGAGTTTCCCTTGTAATCATTCAAAGGCTTTTTAGTGGAGTTGTTCAAATTCCTCCGAGGGAGGTCGAGGTTTTTTAATCCCTTTGAGCCAAGGGATTTTTCCTCGTTAAATCCTTGTGCACTTTACTATTTCGTAATTCCCTGGACCCCACACTAGAACTGTGCGAAAAAACTGCCACGGTTCCACACACACACAATTCACCCCCCCTCTTGTGTTGCTAACCGTTTCATCAGAGTTGAAGGAAGAAAGAAGGGTTCTAAGGGACTAACACTAGATCTAAAGCTTACGAAGCAAAATATGCAAGAATTACCAACAACGGGGGAAGAACTGACCTCAGGAGTAAGTGTATGATCGATCTAAGGCTCTATCTCTCTAGAAAAATTGGCAGAGCTTTGCTTCAACTCAAAATCGCACAAGGCGAATGGGATCAAGACCTGAGTATTTATAGCCTCCCCAACCGCGGTTGGGGCCTGAGTTTGGGCCTCGGGTTAAAAGCCCATCATTACGAACCGTAACCTTAACCAACCGGTGACGCCCGCCCGAAGCAAGCCAACCAGGACACGCCACATGGACACCTTTTCGAACGGTTATATCCAAACGGTCACATTTCGATGACTACCCTCTTAGATCACAAACGGCCTTCGACTCTCAGTGTCTCCGCCCTCAGATCACAAGTGGCCTTCGACCTCTCAGTTCCGCCGCCCTCAGATTACAAGCGGCCTTCGACTCTCAGTGTCTCCGCCCTCAGATCACAAGTGGTTTTCAACCTCTCAGTGTCGCCGCCCTCAGATCACAAGCAGCTTTCGGCTTCTCAGGGCCGCTTTCATCGGATCGCGAATGGCCTCAGCCTCAGCGTGATCCTTCATCTCAGTTTGAAAGGTTCACCCCTCTTGCTTCATTTTGGGGGCATCCGGTGTACTCTTTTCCCCTCGTTAGGATTTTTTCCCACAAGGTTTTTCCTAATGAGGTTTGTAACGAGGCATCTCCCCATTGTGAACCAAAAGGCGTCAGCCCTCGACTCTCTATTAAAGACATGCATTACTCTACTCCTTTTCACCCCATTACATGAGCCTCAAGGAGTTGGGGTCTGGGAAATCCCTTCGAGAAATCCCAAAAAGTTAAAGGTTTTCCCAAGGCATTACCAAAGGCCTCCAGTCTCAGAATGTGGGGGACTGGAGGACTCCCCTCGGCAAAACACGGAAACGCAAAACATTCACTACTCCACAGCAATTTCCACTGGCGATTTCACTACAATTACTCCTACTTCCCTTGAGATGCTCTCGGCAAAAGGAGTGGGGGACTCCTGATGGAGTATATGGCCCAAGAACCCCCGGCTCACATACTTCCAATACTACGATCAGACCCAACAGGCCCAAGTTGGCCCAAGCACGGGAAACAAGACTCCAGACAGCCCATACTACGCAAGGTGTGCCTTCGTCCCCATGCCTGAAAGCTCTATACTAATCAAACGATTGAACTTGGTCTAGAAACATCGCTGGGGAACAAGGCTTGAAGTGCGAGCCTTCGGCATTTACAGCCTTCGGGACATGATGCCCCCGGGTATGTATAGCCTTCGGTAAATGAAGTCCCTAGTACGTGCAGCCAGAGGCGCTCTCCTCGACAGGATCTCCTCTCCACAAGCGCTGAATCACCGCATCAGGTACACCGTCACACCCAAACCACCACATTGAATGCGGTCACATGCTATGTCGGTGCCACCCTGGCTGAAGTGACCCTCCATCGCTAGTTACTTGACACGTGTACCCTCATTATCGCACCTAGCATTTATGGCTGCTATTCTTCCATTGTAAATGACACAACTTATATATCAAATACACACTCTCTCTCTCTCTTACTTGCTTTGACCTCTTGATATTTCTTGTAATATCCCTTGGATAAGGTACCCCTCGGTTACACTATCCATCAATGAGTATGTATAATTTATGTAAAAACATTGATAAAACTCAAAATGAAAGACGCAAAAAAGAGAATTCAGCCAACAAGTAACACTCTTTATGAGCATGAAGAAATTTGATCTTGAATTGAAAAGACAATACTTAGAGAAGGGGATTTATACACAAGGATGCCCTAGAAGACCGAGCCGAGTACCATTTTGTAGTTTTATTCTTTGTTCTTTAATATCATTATTATATTGGGGATCAGAGAAATATTTTACATGATCGATTTGAATAAAATTGTGAATTTTACAACATTTGTACTGTCGACTCTTTAGTTTTCTTTGAATACTTAATGTGATATTATAATTGTAAATTAACTATAAACTTATTTTAATTTCTTCTATCTAAAAACCTAGCGGAAGACTAACTCGTACAACATGCGCCGTCGAATTTTTCTCCAATCATGAGGAATTGTCTTCCGAAGGTAGACAAATCGGAGAAGTAGAGATGTGTTTTTCTAGGTGATATTGGCTCTCGGATATTCTTGCTATAGTAGGGGTATGATCCAATTCGTCTGTTCTTCATTTCTGGTTGCATTTGTTCTTTGCTACAGCGGTTTTTTCCCGAGCATCGGTGCTCCGGGTTGTTTTGTCTCCCTTGGTGTGCGAAGTTGTTTTGGTGGCCCGAACAGCTTATTCGTCTGGTCAAGGGTTTCCGTTCGTATTCATTTGGGGTACGTAGAAAATGGTAGAGTTCATCCTCCTCTTGAACCACCTCGTGCCATGAAGAATTTTGTTGTCTGACATTAAATTATTTCAATTTTATTTTTAGTTTAGTAGTATTTATTTTTATTCTTACTTCGAGTATGTTTGATTTGGATGTTTTTTTGAAAACTTTTGATATGTAGTATAATATTTTAGTTCCGATTGTTTAATTTTAGACCTAAATTTACTCGGTACTTGTCTAGCGAATCATGTTGTTTTATATGAAGTCTTGTTTCTATGTCTATTCCTAGAACTTATGATCGGCTCTATTGTAATTATCTGAAGGTTGTCTTGTATGATTATTCAATATGAATACAAAAAATGCTATTTTATGTTTTAAAAAGGGGGAAAATCGCACTTTTAGTCCCTCAACTAGTCAACACATTGAAATGTGAGACTCATGTTCCCCAGTTTGTAAATCCCACCCCTCAATGGTTCATATTGATGTAAATGTGGTCCTTTAAGGAGTCAAATGTACAATGTGGGCGATAAGTACATTTCACCCCTCAAAGGATCACATTTACAGCAATTTGGATTATTGAGGGGTGACATTTACAATCTCGAAATTACGGGTCTGACATTTCGATATAGTGACTATTTCAGAGACTAAAAGTGCAAATTTCTCCTAAATAAACTATAAACATATTCTTTGTGAAAGGTGAATCCGTTCTCAAGTGATTGAAAAGATGCTAGACTTTTTCATGTCACAATATTAGTAACACAAATTAGGTGTTAATTTATAATATTTTATTATTTTCTCTCTCTTATTTCTTTTAACATTTTTGTTAAATAACAAACACAAAAAGATGAGATAGATTACTATTTTCAGTGTCTAATCTAGACTATAGAACTTGATCAAATAAAATAATAAACATATGATACCGAATCAAATGAAATTAAATTGAATATAATAATTTTCACTTTGATAAACAGAACTTGAACCAAACCGAAACACAATGGTCTTAATTTTCTACAAATTCCCCAGACCAAATAAATCAAAACCAAACAAAACTGGTGAAAATTGAAGCGTAAATTGAATTTCTCACCCATAATAATCCCAAATAAAAAAGATAAAAATTTAGACAAGCTAAAAACTTTAAACCAAAAACCGTATACATAATAGAGTTTTTAAAATTTAGTTGAGCTATCCCAAAATGTATCTCATTTTTACCCCACAATCTAATGTGTGATCATAAATGGGGTAATTCATTTAAGTGATGCTCCACTTAAATGAAATACTCATTTATAACCATACATGAGGGGATGAGAGAAAAAATGAAGTACATTTTTAAATACCTTTAAGGTTTGTTTTTAAATAAGGGGCCCGATGCAACCATACCGATGACCAGTATAAAAGAACCATATTTCCCAGTTCTCTTTCTGGCAATGGATCTATACTAGCCCCTCTCCCCCGTCAACAATCTCCTTTATTTCCGTGGAAAAAGGGCTCAATGATTTCGATCTTTAGGCCTTTTCAATTTAATTAGATCATTAATTAGCTAGGTTCTGTATTATATAATTAAGTCTTTTGGAACTACGGGTATATATTAACAGAGATGGAAACCAAGATTCCAGCATCAAGAACCAACCGAGGAATGGAAGTTGACGGCGTCGTCGCGGAGGAGGAAGCGGTAGCTCACAAGGTTAACAACGTTAGATGGGCAGACATTGTTTTAAGGTTATTAGCCTTGGCGCTGACCCTCGTGGCGGCCCTTGTGCTGGGCTTGGACAAGCAGACGAAGGCGGTGACCATGCAGATTCTTCCCACCCTGCCGCCGGTCAATATTCCGTTCACCGCCAACTCGCATCACTTGTCTGCCTTCGTGTAAGTCCGATGCAGCTAGCTGTAGTAGTACGTGGATTAATACTGATTGCGTCTTCGAAATCCCTAAGATTACAAATAGGACTAAATTATTAAATAATAATGTTAGTAAAACAATGTTAAAGTTTATAAATAGGACTAAATAATTAATCCCTAATCAAGTTCACTTTTATTATGGAAAGTTTTAATCAATTTATTCCTTTATTACGATTAAATAAGTCATATTTGAGGAATATAATACTACCTCGTTCTTTTTACACTATTCACATATTCTACTTTGACTATATTTTATTAATTAATGTATTATAAATTAATTTTTTTTTAAATATTGTTAAATTCTTCTCATTCTAAATTTTCAAAATATGAATTCTTTAAATTTTTTACTAATAAGAAATAAAAGATATTAATGGTCAAACTTGTGTTTTTGCAAACATGAGATGTTGATTGTTGCGATTAAAAGGGGAACGAAAGAGAATATATGTTAGGGGGTGTTTGGAACTGATTCTGCTTCTTCTTTTAAAGCAGAAGCAGAATCAGAATCATTTTTCAGAAGCTGGTACCCCCCAGCTTAAAAAAAACTGATTCTAGGAGTAAATTAGAGCACCATAACCACTTCTTCATTTTCACCCAAACACTCCAACTTATGTTTCTGCTTCCTGAAGGAGTAGAAGCAGTTTTAAGAATTAGATCCAAACACCCCCTTATTTTCAAATTTTGTTATCAAGTGTACCATGATCTGGTTGATCAGTATTTGTCCAGTCTAAAGTCATCACGTATGATATGATATTACGTATGTAGTATGATATTGCATGCATACTCCTTCCGTCCCGGTTGAATCTTTATGTTTGCTTTTGGCACGGTATTTTAGGAGCTCAATTAATAAAAGAACAAATGACTTCGATGCCCTTTGACTTTTGGGGGAATTAATGCTATCCATCCATTTATAAAAAGTGGGTGGGTGGTGAAAAATAGTTATGAAATTTAATGTAAAAGGAGTTGCCTAAAAAGAAAGCGTAAAGGAGTAAATGGGACGTCCCCAAAAGGAAAGTATAAAGATTTAAATGGAACGAAGGGAGTACTAGTATGTAAAATTTTTACTTGTCAACGTCCTATCAATAAGTTTATTCATCTTTATTTTAAGAAATAATTAATACTATTAAATGAGAATCAAATAATAAAATAGGAGTATATAATCAAATTAATTATTTTAATTATTATCTAAATAGGAGTATATAGTTTTTGAATTTATGTATATTTTAAAGAATAATCCTTACTATTTATCTTAAAGTGACTGAGAGTAAAACATAAATACTTCGTCGTATTTATTCAGTTTTATTAAGAGATATAGAGAATAAATTAGCTAGTACGTTCCTAATTGAAATCATTATCGAAGTCAAATGTAATTATAATCTTTGCGAAATAAAAACATGATAGTCTTACTTAACTAAGGATAATATATACTATGTATATTTGTATCGTATTTAACTAATGAAAATTATTATTTAATTCATTATGTATATTAAAAGGCTTTACTATATAAAATACTTTAAAAACATGTACAAAAACATGATATGGGATTTTAGTAAGGCTTTTTAAATTTTTAAACACTGCAATTTGGTTAATCATTTGAACATAAAAATATGAGCATGCATGTATCAGAATCCGTAATTAGTAAATTTCAAACTTAATTATGTGATCATTTTTTTAAATATTTTTTTCTTATTTTACTCTAACCGGTGTAGATAATATTTTCGATAAACATCGATCATAACAAACAATATAACAAAAAAAATCAACAAAGAAATTTCAACAAAAAAATCAATAAAGAAATAACCAATGATTACCACTCTGTCTAGCTAGCATCCAGATCCATCCACCTAGATTGCCAACCACATTTTTTTTACTAGATTGCAAACCACATGAAACAGAAGTGGTGTTCCATTCGAGAAATTAAAAAGAGGTTTTATGAATACGTGGGTCTTACACACAAAAATTGTGAGATAAAAAATAGGATCCATGCTTAAGGGTGTCTAAGAGACTTAGACCCTTCCCTTCCATCGGAAAGCTCTATCTTTCCAAAGGATATATGCATGAATCATGAATGTAATCAACAGTGGCACCAGCCTGGGCAGTAATGCTTTTGAGGATTTAATGTACTACGTAGCAAACTCTTTAATTAGTGATATAAAGATTTGCTCTCCGGTGATATAAAAGTTCAGCGAATTAGTCCATTATTATTATAAAGTGTGTCAAATCTTCGCCTGATATAATTATTTATGTGCAAAACCTCTTTTGTGATCAAATTTAATAATTTGAAAATGATTTTCTTAATATTAGGATTAATTGATTCTGCAAATAATTTTTCCCAAATCTCTGAATTACTAAAAATGCTAATCATTTTTCTTTTATTTGACAATTAAATTTATTAATATAAGAGACTCTGCACATGAATAATTATAAAATTAGAAGGTTTGACGCCTTTTAAAATAATATGGGCTAATGGAAAGGAATTTCTACATCACATAAGGGTTTGATGCGTTAAACCCTGTTTTTGAAGTGTCGTCGATCTTAAAACGCAGCCCAATTTGATTTTGCACCCATTTTATTTAACTTTAGATTTTGCATTCTATTTTTCAAATCATTAATGTGTGTATCATGCTTTGTTTAGAATCATTTGACTTTGCATTTCATTCTTTAACAAATTTTAGACTGACAGAGTTTATAAACTAATGTTTTTTAAAATGATGTTTTAAAATGAGGTGCAAATTTCAAATACTGTTTCAATTTCCCATAAAAACAATTAAGTGATATATATGGAAAACAGTTTAGCTTTAGTATTCGAGAGATACATGTAGTGGGTAATGGAAACATATGCCTGATGAATTTTTCCCAATAGAATTGAAGTATAGAACAAATAGGAAAAAATTCTATATATATACAGTAATTTCCTCCAACAAATTATCTCTCCTGCCCCCAACGGTTTTCTCTTCTTTTATATAATGAAGCATAAAGTTTTATGATTAGGCTGATTTAAGATCATCTAAAATGAGTTATATTAAATGCAACTAAAATAATCGTAATAAATGTATAAATACAGTAAAATATTTTGTTAAATGAACGGTAATTTTTTATCACATAAAAGAGATAAAACAAACAAGGGTAATTATTGTCATATTTAAAAATTATTATTACTCATGACATTAACATTTACATTTCATTATTTTATAGTACCGTTTTAGGATACCAATAACTAATTCCCATAAAGAGAAAAAAATTATAATACTAATAGTTTAAAATTATTTATTTCTATTATCAAAAAAAAATATTTATTTCTGAATTTGCAGCTTTCCTAATTACTACGTATTAGTTTTATATGGATTCTACTTTTGATCTGCAAAACTAAAAGAAAATGAACTAACATGTATATTTACTGTGTTTAGGTTTTAGCTCACTTGTCACTGGAACATGTATTAAATTGACCCAATCTTTTGATATCTTTCACCCAAAGTTCTTGGAATAGGTATGTATATACCGAGTATATTAAGAAGAAGTAGATCCATTATATTCAAAAAAAAAAGTTGATAAAAATAGCTCAACAAAATTCTAACCAATTACAAGTATCAATAACTATAGGTAGGTGCTACATAAATGCACGTTTGACTATAATATCAACATTCTTTTTACGAGAAAAACACTTGAAAAGATAAGAAGGCTTATATAATGGGGTATATGTTCCTCCATAAAGAAAAGAAAGAAAAAGATAAAAAAACGTACATATCATCATATATTATTATTAACCTGGAAAAGTCGAAATTAGCTAAATAAAAGAATGGAGTTAGTACATTTTTCGCAACACAATAAAATAGTTTTAAAGCGTTAAAAACGTTGATAATATATAAATTTAGAAGTGATTTCTTTATATCAGAATGATGTAGTTGAATTATTTAAATATAAATTAAAAATAATATAATGATTTGAACCAATCAAATGAATAACATGTACAACATCCATTTTTTAAATGAGTGTCGGAGTTGTCACAAATTTGTTGCGTGCATGCATTATTTGGATAGGTATTCTCATTTAATTTAGGGATTACAGTACACGTCTTCAGTTCTTTAATTAGGAAGTCGATGTCATGCTGACACGTTACATGTTGCGTGGTTACGGCCAGTCTTATCGATATCTTTTGTTTATATTCAATCAAATTAATACACGTCTTCAATTTATATGTTTCATTAAAATCTTATTTAGGAGGAGCACCATGCTGACACGTTAAATGTTCCATGCAGTTGCAACCAATCTTATCGTTACCTTTTTTTATTTATAATTCATTCTCTGTTTCATTGAAATGTACAACTCATGTTCTCATTGTTACGTAGTAGTATTAATTTCTTGAAACTATAAAAGTATGCAACAAAAATACTATGTATAATTAAACATAGATGTTCTGTATTAATTATTACAATAATTTTAAAGAAAATACAATATTATAGAATTTGTATCATCTTTAGCTATTCATATCCTACCATTTTTAAAGTGGCCGGGAAGATCTTTTTATTAATCGAGCAACATATAAACAATTAGAGTGGTTCAATGAGATAATCTGCTGAATCACGAAAACATTGTATTTAAAATACTCCCATCTTTTCACAATAAAAGTCATAGTTTAACTATTTCGGTCTCCTAACGTTTAATTTGACCATAATTGTCTATTAATAAATTGACATTTGAATAATACGTATTACAATTAAGCACATTATATATTTTTTTTGGGATAAAATATTATTAAGTTTGAGTAATAAGCGGTCAAAGTTTAATAAGTTTGACTCAAAAAATTGGACTGTAACTTTATTAATGAAATGGAGGGAGTATACTTTATCAATAAAATGAAGGGAACAAATTACATGAGAAATTAACTAAAATGATTGTCTATCATAAGTTCAATCAGTTAAGCCAGAAATGTAATTTGAACCTACTTATTTTGATTATTACATAATTTAATATTCTCACATAAAATCGGAAGATAATAAAAAATTAGCTAGTAAGGCTTATAAGTAAATACTCCCTCCGTCACGAAATTAACTTTCCACTTTCCTTTTCGGACAGTCTCGAAATTAACTTCTTGGTTCTTCCCACTTCCTTATTTGCAAATTATCTGCATCAAAACAGTGACAAACAGTGTCGAAACATTGACAAAACAGTAAAATTTACTCCACAGTAAATTTATTTTCTTAATTTGTGTGAAATGGAAGTGAGAAGTTAATTATGGGAGGGAGTATATTAATTTGCATTTGTAGCCCAATAATGTGTTTCCATTTCTTTTGTTTTTGAAGGTACTTTGTGGTGGTCAACGCAGTAGCATGTGCATATGCGGCTGTATCCTTGGTCCTCACACTGGCAAACAGAAAAAAGAACAATACCGCCGCCGCCACGTCTGTAATGATCATCACCCTCGATCTTGCCATGGTGGCGCTGCTGTTTTCCAGCTGCGGAGCCGCGGCGGCTATAGGAGTGATGGGGTACAAGGGAAATTCGCACGTGCGGTGGAACAAGGTCTGTAACGTCTTCGAGATATTCTGCGGCCAAGCGGCGGCGGCCATTGGAATTTCACTCGCCGCCTCCATCTTCTTCCTGCTCCTCGTCTTCTGTGCTGCATTAAATTTTCACAAGCGGCTTGGCAGCTACCTCAGCTCATAATAACAATAATAATATAATACTCCATGCATGCATCTTGAGTTCTTGAATTGTGAATTGCTCGTCTTCTTAGTTCGTTTAATTTGTTGTGATCGCGAGTTGCCGCTCTCATCATCCTACTCCGTCTTAATTAGGATCGATGATGCGGCATATTGTTTGTATTTTAATTAAAGTAAAATTGCACAAATAGGACTGTCAATGAGTTAATAGGATCAAAACATAGTTAAAACTCCAAAATAGGAGTTCATGTTTAATTTTCCCTAAATAGGACTAAACATTACCATTATGCCCTTAATATAATTAAAGCTTCAATCCATCGTCGGCTATTGAAGTCTGAAAAGCAGTGAGTGAGCTTCTCTCCCTCTTCGCTATTTTTTCCTCCACCTTCGTCAATCGCTTCTCAGCCATCGTCGAGTTTGTCTCCAGTCCCGCCGCCTCGCCTCTCCAGCCGCGCTGCCTCCCCTACCTGGATTTCCATTGTTGTTGCTGGAACTAAGAGTATGCTTTTATTTCATCCAAGGTAGGTTCTCTTCTTCTTCTTCTTCTTCTTCTTCTTCTTCTTCTTCTCCTTCTCCTCCTCCTCCTCCTCCTCCTCCTCCTCCTCCTCCTCCTCCTCCTCTTGTTCCTGGTGCTTTGCTTTTTTATTTTTATCAATGAGATTCTAAATAAAAATTTGATTTTTAAAATCCATATGAAGGGTTCGATTTCAACAAAGTACCGGTCAAATTTTTATTTTTTTAGATTTGGGACTTCTGGATATGAAATTTGAGGCTCTGTCAATTGTCCTTCGATATTATATTGGTATGGTTTTTTTATTATGCATGTCATTCACCTTCTAAAAATGCCACATGATAGGCAATTTTGTGGAGATATGATGGCAATATTTTGGAGATGGCAGTATTATGTGTTTGAAAATGCAATGATTTTTGACATTTTTGAGAAATGATGACATTTTTATGACATGAGAATGTCATGATTTTTTATCTGAAATGTCATGTTGTAATCTCAAAATGACATGTTTTTTCATCTAAAAATGACATGTTTTTGTCTTTGAAAATGTCATGTTGTAATCTCAAAATGACATGTTTCTGCATCTAAAAATGACATTTTTGTCTTTGATGTTATGATGATGGCAATTTCACCTGAAACTGATAACTTGCTCTTCAGAGGAGGTAGTCGCAACAGGAAAGATGTCGACACCTCCAGGGGAGAACTCAACAGTGACGGATGACGCCATAGCACTATTCTCACCGGAGGAAGAGAATAACATCGGCGGTCTCGCCGGTGGAAGCGGTAGCGTTCTCGCCGGTAAGTGAGGTCGATGGTGTTGGTGGCGATGAATGGCGCAGAGGGTATTATTGGTGTAGGTAGTCTGGAGGCATTGCTGCAAATCGTCGGTGAAGGTGCAGCGATCATGGGCCTTGCTTCATTAAGGGTAATTTGGTCTATCAATACAATTTTGGTCCTATTTTGGTCCATAAAACATGACAGTCCTATTTGTGCAATTTTACTCTATTTTAGTCTCATTTAGGGAAATCCAAACACATGGTTCATAAGTAATATTCCGTATTACATTTTCTTTAATTTCGTGCGTAAATCTGATCCTAGCAAAATTAAGGGAAAATCGCATTTTTAGTCCCTGAAATAGTCACCATATTGAAATGTTAGACCCGTATTTGTGAGATTGTAAATGTCACCTCTCAATTTTCCAAATTGTTGTAAATGTGGTCGTCCTTTGAGGGGTGAAATGTACTCCTCGCCCACATTGTACATTTCACCCCTCTAAGGATCACATTTACATCAATTTGGATAATTGAGGGGTGACATTTACAAACTGAGGAACATAGGTCTGACATTTCAATATAGTGAGTATTTCAGGGACTAAAAGTGCGATTTTCTCCAAAATTAATTATAACGTATTCTCGAGATGTTTTAGCCATTTAGGTTTGCGCTACTTACCTGCACAGTCCACTTTTATGTGAGCATATCATTTATGTCTCTGTTACATTCTCTTTTCATTTATAAACTTTTCCATTTTCAATTTTAGTTTTTCTATTTCACTATTAAATCAGTTCTCCCAACCTCATCCGTCTATTAAAACTTCTGTCTCCCTTCTCGTCTCGCCATATTCCTTTCCATCTCTTACAACCTAAGTATATAATCAAATCATGACCAGAATTTAAGATTGATTTGAGTTAGTTTTGATTCCTCAAGAGGGATGAGATCGACGACTTGGGGGAGGGAAGCCCCGTACAAGCGATTTCCATCGAATCGGTGGCTCCCTTTCGGAACCTCATATGAGCAATTGGAGGAAATCGGTATATGCCGTTAGAGCAAAGTCTGGGACAAGCGATGGAGTTTTCAACGTCACGACAGGATACTCCGTGGGTGCTCGGTTCAGCTTTCAATCGTCTGCACGTCCTGCACCATCCAAGGTTGCGACCTTTCAGCGACTGGCGGCCAATTTTGCAGAGCAACAAACAGAGACCTGCGAATATGCTTAAGGTCGATTTGGGCGGAAAATCATGGCAACTCACGATGGAGTTGTGTTCTGATTTCTTGTCCAGTGTCGTCAGCTAGCAAAGCGATCGATCTGATGGTATCTAGGCTCCATTTGTTTCTGTTGAAGAGTAAGACTGGATCCTCCCTCGGCATCCAGGCTAGAGCTTTCCGATGCAAAACACAGTTCACCTTTGTAGCATTAGCCATCATTTTCTTCTATTCAAAATCTAGCTTCATCGATTGAACTAAGCAGTTAACATTTGTCAAATTCAGGATCTGCCACGTCGGAGATAAATTCCAATGAATATTGTTGTAGTGTCTCTTTTGAAGGTTATGAGAATTGAAGATAAACTCTATACTCAATCGAGTGAGATAATTGATGGATGGGTACTCGGGGGTAGCTTATCTGAGGGTTATTGCGGAGAATAACTAGAGAGAAGTCAGAGCAAAGAAGTAAGAGAGAGAAAGTATCTGAATATAGAATGCATATTCAAGTTCCGTTTCACAATGGGGAAATGGATATCTATGTATAGCAACAATAAATGCTAAACAGGGACACGTGTCAAGCATCCGACGGCCGAGGGTCACCTCAATCGGGGTGGCACCGGCATTTGCATGTGACCACATTAAATGCGGTGGTTGGATGTGATGTTGTACTTGGTACGGTGATCCAGGCGCATGTGGAGAGGATATTCTGTCGAGTAGGGCGCCTTCGGTTGTATCTACTGTGCCGAAGGCCTCATAGGCCGGGGGCCTCCAGATACCGAGGGCTGAAGGTGCCGAAGGCTCCTATTTTCCGGTGTCTTCTCCCAGTATCTTTGTCTGCTCAATCTTGACTGCCCCGTGAGTTTTGGAGCCCTCGGCCGAGGGTCCGAGGGCCTTGTATGTTAACCGTAGGCTTCTTGACACTTGGGCCGCTGTGATTTGGGCCTTCTGTGCTTCGTGGGCCTGTTGGGCCTGTATTAGAGTAGTAGGAGTCTCTGGGCCCGGGGTTCCTAGGCCATATACTCCATCAATAATCTTCCAAATTTCTTCATTATTCTTCAATTAATCATTGAGCTCTCTGTGTTTCCCTAATTTTGAAATGTTTGCTCCTATTCCAGTATGTTTGCTAGCGGCTCAAGTCAAATTCCTAGGATAAGAGCAACAACATTTTAAGCTTTGGAAGTAATTCTAGGAAGAATGTGAGTCACTGAAGCACACCAGTATAGATTCTTCGTGCCTTTAGCTAGTTTCTCCACTTCAAATTTTTAATTTTTTTCTTTTTCTATTTTAGTAATCCATATAGAATTATGAATATCAATCTAGATAGTAAAAATGCAACAATAAAATATGAAATTACTTTTTGTTTTATTATCAATGTTATGTTTTATATATTAACTCTTAATATCCTGATTCTAGCATTTTCAAATTAGGTGACTTCATATGAAAATATTTATTATTTTTTCTGTGATTGTATTATGTCATATGTTGGATTATTGAAAGTTTACTTGTGCATTTTGGCATATTTAATCTTACAAAGGGCTGTAAATTTGAATACAGCTTGCAGGTTCATTAGTGAGATGTTATGTGACTGTTTTATTGTAAAAATAAGGTTCAATGAGATTTTCTATTCAGTGTTTTATGAGATGTCATTGCCAAACTTATTATATGCTCAATGAATTTGTAATATCAACTCATTTTTGTCAAAAAAAAAGAAGAAGCAAAGAGCACATTGTTGATGATTCTTGTACTTGCTATTTGTAATCATGAGTGAAACAGGGCACTGTAGGACATGTTGTGATGGACTCTCTTGCTGCTAGGCAGTTGCTGACCCCGTTTGAAAGTTAATTATCAACGCTTTGTTCTATCCACTGCTTGATGATGGCATTGTAGTGTGTGTGTTGGTGTGTGGATGTGAGTTTTCCAGTTGTCACTGATCTGATAAGAACTAAAGTGTATGGGGTTATCTGCAATATTCTTCAAATTAAAGTTATTAGCTCAAGCTGAGCAGCAAGAAGACCCAGTTGCACCATCTTTTTGTTTGTCTGCAACATCTATTATGGAATTTCTGTATGTTTTGAGAAATAAAAAAATATTGTTGGATTCTAGGTTCCAACTTAAATTTGTTTTGGTACATGATAATAAGGCTATTACAATTTCATTTTTGTTTTTTACAAGGTTCCAATGCATCCAAAACTATAGAAAAGAGAAAGTGGTTGGGACAAGTACCTCTTGGATCAGCAAAAAGTGCAGGGACCGTAGCTCATCTTCTTGGATATCTGTGTTGCTTTCCTCTTGTAGTTTAGGATTTTCTGAAGCAGCAAGAGCTTATTTTGATTAGACTGCTAACCCTTAATGAATGTGTAGTGTACATGACGGTAAGTTTATGCAGTTGTTGACTCTTTGCCTTTTGTCCTCTGAATTCTGAATTGCCACCCTGAGTTTCAGTAGCGAGTATGTGTTACCTGTTGATTCCTTTAGAAGAAATATCTTCATTGGTGTTAATGTGTTATACGATAGGACATGATAGTTTGCTTTGAGCATTTGTCTCTCTTTGTAGAGGCTTGTTAAGTGTAAACCCAAACAGGCTGCCTGTCTTGCCAGATGCAGTCTGAAATTGCTTAGAGTACTTAGTTTTCAATTGGCCGTTCTACGCCGTCTTTTGAATTGGTCCATGGTTGATCACCTTATTCCACCCTAATGCAAA